AGTAACCTTCTCAAGTGTCGCATGTCTTTGTATCTTGCGTCTTTTCGTCTGTGTAGATATCCCTGTCGTACAAAAAGACCTCCTCGTCTGTATTTCGTCCGTTGCAAATTCTCACAGTACAAGGTTACCGTGCATAGTGTGTTTACATATGATCTCATTCCTCCCAGTAAAGCAAGATGCCTTTTTCTTCGTCATTCCGTTGTGTTTTCGCTGCCATACTCCTCAGAATCTACGCGAACCCAATGCCAAGCCCGCCATGCCTGCGTCACGGCCCTGCTGCTGTCCCTGTTAAAGCTGAGGATGGACTTCCCTCAGTAACCTCTCGCGCAGCCACGACTCGCAAAAATCTCCGCTATGGACAATTGTGTTAAACCTGAGGACTTTTCTCAATAACTCCTCCCCCATCCGCGACTAGGAACGTCTCCCCTCTGGCTGTTTCTGTTAAGCCAGAGGACGGTTTTCCCTCAGAACTCTCTCGCATACCCGAGGCCCGTGACGCCTCCACAACAGTAGTTGTTCTGAATCCTGAGGACAATCTTCCTTCAGCACGCGCATGCACGCACGCAGCTGATGCTGTACCCCTACAATTTTACAAGGACCGCAGCGTTTTATAACCTGATCAGCGCAGTCCTTGAGATCACTTTTTTGCCTCCCTTTGTGGACTGTGAGGTGCCGGTGAGTGTGCCATCTACGGTTGGCACGGCATTGAGGATTTCATATGGAGTATGCGTGCGTTGGTCGCCCTACCCGCGCCACGAGGCAGGGGATGGTCATTATGTTACGTGTTATCAGTGTCAACGAGACCCCTGTTCATCTCAAGCATGTCACGGGGGTACCTGGCCGCGAGGTCACGCGTCTCCCGGTAGCTGAGCTCGACCTTCCCACGCCTGCTCGTACCACCTCTGTTACACATGCTCTTGGCCCGTCGACACCTGTTTTGCATACATTGTCGTTTGTTTTACTTCCCGCAGAGGCTGATGATTGTAGTTATGTATTACGTTATTTTTCTGGTTTACATAATTACTGCTGATTCCTGACTATCCCACGAGACAATTAGACAATGTCAGCATAACATAGAAGTCCATTGCAACAACGCTCCGACTGACCTCATGGTCCACGAACATACCAGCTCGACTTCCGACTCAGCACATTGCGCTCCTCTGGCTGCTTCCCTTGCTTACACACATTCTACCCTTTGCCTTCTCCCTCACTGTTACAAACATTTTTCTTCCTTTCATAAAGGTTAGAATGTTATCCACGTGTCTAATATATAGTTCCATCTTTATCAATTTCATTCCCTCATATAACACAACTCATTTTTTGGTGTTTTGTAATACATAGACTACGTAACAAAACTAACGGCGCCGACAAGTTCAGCGCCTCATGACCATGTATTCGCCTTTATTTTCATTATTAAGCTGTTACCTTTGTTGTACCTACATATGAATTTTACACCTGCTTATTGCAGTCATACATCCCCGTGTATCCACATATGAATTATATTGTGTTACTTTAGTTTATTTATTTACACCAATGTATTTACGCAGTCTTGTATCATCACTATTTTGTTCCTGTTATTGCATTTATTACTTCTCTCATATATCTATATCTGTCTATCTATCTATCTATCTATCTATCTATCTATCTATCTATCTATCTATATATCTATCTATCTATCTATCTATCTATCTATCTATCTATCTATCTATCTATCTATCTATCTATCTATCTATCTATCTATCTATCTATCTATCTATCTATCTATCTATCTATCTATCTATCTATCTATCTATCTATCTATCTATCTATCTATCTATCTATCTATCTATCTATCTATCTATCTATCTATCTATCTATCTATCTATCTATCTATCTATCTATCTATCTATCTATCTATCTATCTATCTATCTATCTATCTATCTATCTATCTATCTATCTATCTATCTATCTATCTATCTATCTATCTATCTATCTATCTATCTATCTATCTATCTATCTATCTATCTATCTATCTATCTATCTATCTATCTATCTATCTATCTATCTATCTATCTATCTATCTATCTATCTATCTATCTATCTATCTATCTATCTATCTATCTATCTATCTGTCTATCTATCTATCTATCTATCTATCTATCTATCTATCTATATATATATATATATATATATATATATTATATAATTTTTTAGCTTAGTATTGTTTAGATAGCTGTGCCTTATCACTTTCTCTGACACATTCCGCGGCGGTAGCGTGACGAGCGATGTAAGACTCATTTTACATATGACCTATTTCAACACACACCTAATCCTTCCCCAGAGATGCTCACTAATGGATATTGAGTGTTTCGTATAACACTTATAGCTACAGGGCTCCCTTGTAGCCACGCACAGCAGATACCTTCTATTATATTACCATTGTCATACATATGACACTATTAACTTATAAATATATATTTAATATAATAACACTAACCTCTACATACCAAGCCTTTGCTC